TACATAAATGAAATTTACCTCCTTTTTTTCCCCACAAATTGAGCTTTCTTTTGGTGGTATTTGACCGCCTGTGCGGTTATTTTTTGCGCTCTAAAAAAAAAAAAAAAAAAAGGCTGACAATTTTGAGGAAAAAAAACAATATTTTGGACTTTTTGCTATAAAACATGTCCAGTAAAAAAAAATTTAAAAATCAAATTTAGTCATAAATTTCTGCCAAAATGTATTCTGCGACATGTCTTTGCTAAAAAAAACCCCCAATATGTGTAAATTAATTGGTTTACGTGAAAGTTATAGCGTTTACAAATGATGGGAAAGATACTGGGGGATTTTTAATTTTTTTATACTAATAATGGCGGCTATCAGTGACTTATGGCGGGACTGCGGGACTACGGCAGACATTCTGACACTGGGGGCGAACTGACTTGGGGTCACTGACATCCCCAGTGACACAAATACAGTGATCAGTGCAAAAAAAAAAAAAAAACACTGACACTGTACTAATGGCACTGGGGAGGAAGGGGTTAACTTTATTATTCACTGAAAGGGTTAACTGTGAGGGGAGTGTTTTACTAGGGGGCGGGGCGGTGTACTGCAAGGAGACACACTGATCCGGACAGATAAAACTCTTCTGTCCCGATCAGCGTGTCAGGAGCTGTCAGGGAACTGACAGAAAGCAGCACAGCTACTGCAGCTGTGCTCTCTGTCACTGATTGCCGCTAATCGCCGGGACATAGCCGGTAACGACCGGCTGTGACCCGGCGACTGACATCCGCGGCCGTGATCGGCGGGACAGGTAGGGCGCCCCCTACCTGTTTGAAAACACACGTTTTAAAACGTGGTTTTGCCCAGCCGTGCCGCCCTGCCAACGTATTTATACAGTGGCTGGGTGGCATGCGGTTAATTGGCAAATCCTAAATGCTGCAGAGAGCGGTGCCAGGTAAAGATGCAGGGTTGTATTCTCAGCAGCATTCCCCTGTGATTCCCAGGTGGGATCTTGACTTCCTGGGCTCAAAAAAGTCGATTTAATGACTCTGAGGATCACTCAACCTGAGAGGGGCAGCACTGCATTGATAGATGTTAGCTTGGGGGGGGGGGGGGGGGGGTGAGAGTGCCAGAGCTTGGCTGACTATAGCAGTCTGTGCGTTCTTTAAAAACAATTTAAAATTGGCTGAGTACAAAGATCTGAATTCCAGCTTTGGCAAAGATTCAAAATGATCAGCAATCAATGGAAACAAAGACAGGAGACTGATATATTATAAATATTTTTTTTTTTATTATGTAGCGTTCCAGTAATGTATACTTGCCCAATGAAAGACTAAACAAATTATACCCTTGTCGTAAACTCCTCTTAAATGTTCATTAGTCAGCAAAGGCATAGTACATTTACCACCTGCACATCTTACAATCTCAGAGTCTAGGGAGAGCAGTCAGGTTCCTTAAAGTGCATTGCTGTTTGTATGACAGAAGATAGGACACATGGGGCAGGGTTAGGCAGTAACTGCGTCTGCTAACTCATCTTAGCAAAACAGATGCAGAAATTTACAGTATGAAAGGAGACAGAAGAAGCCATCTCACTGAAATTCCATACATTTACAATGAATGGAAAAGACATTCAATTGTGAGGTTGTACTTTAAGTATGACTCCATGCACTCCCCATATTTATGACACATTCATTTTTTTTTCTATTTTACATTAGAATATCTTTCACCATAGTACAAAATATGTCTTCATAAAAAGTAGGACCACAGAGAGTCTAAAGGAATGATTAGAAATAAATTCTACGGATCTACCCTGTATATGGGTGTTCAAAGTTCATTTTTGCACTTTTTTTTAGGAAGTGCAACTTATGTTCAAGAAGTACATGATGAGTTTTGGGGGTAAAGCATTGTACACCTGTTTCAAAGCTTTGTGAATCAAGCAGGCTTAAATATTTATTCCAAAACTTGCCCTTTTCACTTGAAAGTTATATTGAAACATGATACTTCATTTAAAAAAAAACCCAAAAACACGATTCTACAGAAATGCACTTAGCAATTGTCTACTGCTTGAAGACTGATCATGTCAATGTGTAAAGCAGCATGTCTTGGCCAGGAATGCTACGTAGTCAAGCTGCTAGAGGCTTTTATATCTGCTTAACAGTTGAGGCCATTTGCTTAGAAAATCTACAAGATCCTTTTCTCTGTTCTGCAATTTTGGCAGAATGTGCACCTAGGATTTTTGTCATGTTGATACCTAAAGTGCCCCCAACATAAAGTACCTCTTCAAGCACCAAAAGGCAGATAAATCTACGCTTCTCTACCTTATTGCGAAACATAAACAAATAAAATATATGCTTACAAATATGTTTCATGACATGGTTGCCGTTTTCTCCTCCTTGGGGGCTGTACTGATGGCAGTTACTCTCTGCTCCTAGTTTCCACACTATGGGATTGTTTGCACCTATGCACATGCAGTAGCATGCAGCTATGACACCATTGCATGCAGCTTCTCCCTACTGACACTATTGTGTTTTCATATGTGCCAGTGTGTGTGATTTTACGGCACTGTTGGGGATAAGCATTCTGAAAATTGAGGAAGGCATTTTGGAAACAAAGTTTTCATGTAGAACTATTAAAATCTTATGGGCCCCTTTGAACGCAAGCCAGAAATTAGACAAAGGCGGTTGCGAAGGCTCAATGTTTTTTATGCATGAAGGTAAAAAACCTTATGTGTGCAGCAGCCCCCCTTCCCCCACCAAATACTTACCTGAGCCCCATCCCGATCCAGCAATGTGCATGAGAGCAGCGGCTCTCTCAGGACTCTAACTCCTCATTGGTTAAGACAGCAGTGGGATCCATTGGCCTACTGTCAATCACAGCCAGTGAGCTAAAGAAGGGAGAGCGGGGCCGAGCCATGCTCTGTGTGTGAATGGACACGCAGAGCAGTGGCTTGGGAGTGAGCCTGCTTGGGTTTCCTCATAGCAAGCTGCTTGCTATGGGGGTACTAAGCAGCAGGGAGGGGCCAGGATCACAGGCAGGGTACCTGAGAACAGGGCGATCAGGGCTGCTCTGTGCAAAACCACTGCACAGAACAGGTAAGTAGGACATGTTTATTATTTTTGTATTAAATGCCTTTAATATCACTTTAAGGGTCTGCAGAGATGGGCTCTGAGCTGGTTTTGATGGAATCAGGTTTGGGATAGATCTGAGATCATTCAGATTTCATTGACAGGTGCATTTGTTGTGCAATTGACCCTTCTAACCTGTATTTGACTTGCTTCAAGTGGGTTTTTAGGAAGGCAAAACCCGCTTGAAGCCTACAAAAGCCTGTCAACTCAGGCCCTTTTATTGTTCCAAAAGCTTAGGTTGCCAAGCCTTACCGCTTTAAGTCCTTTTGTGTATCACTACCAAAGGTTGTAAATCCAAGGATCGGGTTCCCCGTTTTGTCAGCACTAAAGCACACCAATCAGCAACAGTTGCTGAAAAGAGGCAGGCTGCCACCCAGACAGGAGCAGTATTTCTGTGCAGCCCACTGTCTGTTTCCTGGATTGCGTCTGATGCTAGGTGGCAACAAAAGAACTAAATGCAGTAAGACTTAGCAAGTTAAGATTTTGAAAGAATATTAAAAACTTCTGCCTACGTTCAGGCTTGAGTTAAATTGGCATTTAATGCCACAACAGAGAAAACTGCAGGAATATTCCCAATCTTGCAACAGTAAGTGGTAATCTTAGCAGCCTGGCTAACTGTCATATCTGTTTAAACTGTCCTTTTCTCTCCTGTGGAGTAATTAGTGTGTCTACACAGCCATTACCAAGAAATACCTGCTCTTGGTAGTTGATCGCATTTCAGGATTCTTTAACGTCTAGCAATTTAAACATCTCTGTGTAACCACTCCATATCTGAGAAGTGCAGTAAAGACAGCATAAATCATGGGAGTCCCCGATAACAAACGTTTTGTGCAGGAAAACTGTGTCAGCAGCCTCAGATGGAAGCAGCAAAACTGAGATCCATTTATTTTACATAATTCTTCTAGGGCAGTGAAGCTGTACCTATTTGACTTTACTGTGAGGGAAGTTGCTTCCCTAAAAGTGGCATGCTGTGAGTCTGGGAAAGCCAGCTTGTATAAGGCTTCTGAGAGAGGGATTTGGCTTTGTAACGGATTCAAAGCAAAATATAGAAAGTAAGTCTTTGCGCTACACAAGGAAAATGGGGTAGTTCTTGTGAGAAGGCATGCCTGTTCTGGCTGGCCCTTTAAGCATGAAAAAAAAGCCTTACAGGTCAGAGTACAAGCAAATTGTAGAACGTCGATCAAGGAACATATTCAACAAGTAAAGAAGGAACAGGTGGAGGCAATCATAGAAAACATTATGCACTGGGCATGGAGGGGCAAACACTGACATGTCAAAGTATTGTACATAGGCACTAAATGGATGGTGGCTACTTAAAGCTGTCTAGTAACCTGGCCCATGTAACAGCACTAAGCACCATGAAATACACCAAGCTAGCCTTGTCACTTTAAGAAAGTGAGAGAACATCAGGATGATGATCACTGCTTTCAGAAAATACAAACACACAAAAAAATACAAATACAAAAGCACATTATATGCAGAACTCTCCCAGGCTAGTCCGCTGTAACTCTAGCCGAGCTTTCTTCCGGACACTCGTGTCGCTTAATCTGCAGTGATACTATATGGTAGAGAACAGATAGGGGATTCCTGGCAACTTCAATAGGGACATTCTCCATTAAGCCCTGTGCAATGCTACATGGCATATGATATGTTCTGAACATGGTAGGCTCGACAGGATGTATTCCTATAGAACAAGCAGGTAAACAGCGCATACAGAGACCAGAACAAAACATTTTCTTTTCTAAAATTAAAAAAAAGGGGAACAAAAAGGAACAAAAACAAACATAGTGCAAAAATCTCACACATTATACCTAATATATAAAAAGTTCAGTTGGCACCGAAGGTGATATTCTGTTTTGTGAGAGGGTACAATGCAATGTCCACTGCATACTGCTAACATCTCTGAATAAAGTTCTTTGGAAATATTCCTGTCCTTCCATGGAAATCACCGCTCATCCAGTCATTATCCACAGATTCCAGCGAGGAGATAATATCACCTGCCTGGGAGGAGGACAGAAAAACATGAATTGCTTGATATCTTCTTTATACTTCCTACAGTCTGACTGACCACCATACATGGTAAAAAAAAAAAAAAAAATCAATTTTCTTTTCACATACTGACAAGCAATGCCAACAATGACAGTATTATGCATCTAGGCTCCCGGCACAGTTACTGGCACATATCAGATAACTCCCGATAGCTACTTGTGATTGGAAGCCTTACAATCATGTGACAGCCAATCACGGCGGTCACATGATCATAAATCCTGCCCAGCCTCCTGTAATCACAAACCCCTTAAAGGGTCAGGAGGCGTGGTGCCATGGGTTAAAAGCAGAACTACACTCACTTTTACTCCTGCGATGCGATGTCCAGGAGCTTCCTTCCTGGCCACTGACATCTTTGGCCGATCTTCTTCCGGGTCCCGATCTTTGAACACTTTGGTTGGCCAAGCTGAGATGACATCACACTCATGCATGTGCGGGAGTTCATTCATCTCGGCAGATGTCAAAAATGTACAAATAGCTGTATGTGCGCAGCTCAATGTACACTGCAATCAAGGAAAGTAGGAATACTTCAATGCAGAAGAAACAGACTGTTTCTTCTGCATTAAAAAGCCTGCCTGCTTGCAAACTTTTTTTTTTTTCAGTAAAGTTCCTACTCTATCCAAAAACGGTTTTATCTTTAAATATGCTTTAAGTTGTAATTTAGTTTTATAAAAAAAAATGTATTTAAAAAGAAAAAAGGGCATTGTGATCTGGCCAATCAGAAATCTATATGGTTTCAACATAAGCTGTGCAAAAAGACCAGTGCCGGGACAAGGCAATCTAGCGCCCAGAGCAAAGATGACAAATGGTGTCCCCAACCCAAAATGTAGCATTATGTGTCAGCAAAAATCCCTCCTCCCCCCTCAAACAATCTGAACACTAATCTTCACATGTACCCAATAAACTTCCCACCTCTCAGCTCAAATCCTCTCCCTCCCCAAATCCCCCTACCCCAATACAAATCCTCTACCCCTTAAATTTCCACTCTGAGCATAAATCCTCTCTCCCCCCCCCCCCCCAAATCTCCTTGTAGCACTAATCCTCCCCCCAAATTTTCTCCTCCTAGGACAAAACTCCCCAGTCATCCTTACTAGCACAAAACTCTGCAGTCATCCTTACTAGCACAATGCCCCCCCCCCCCCCCCCCCCAAATCCCCCTTCCTAATAGAAATTCACCATCCTAGTACAAATCCCCCCCTCCAAATTCCCCCTTCTAGCACAACCCCCCAAAATCCTCACCATGCCCAGGGCAACTGTACCTGCTGCCCACCCCTTGTCCTGGCCCTGGGACAGAGCACTGGCCTTCAAAATACTGTGCAATACTGCAACTTATAAAGTAGAAAGGAAAGTTTGGGGTATTACAAAAAAAAACATACATATTCACTATCATGCTGCAGCATCGTTTGATCCTGCAGCTGTTTCCCCACTGCCTCTAAGTCCAAGAGCTAACTGATCACATGACCGATGATCGCTCAAGTTTTTGGTCAGCTCTGAGCAGAGAGCAGTGACTGTCAGTCACCTTGCTCCTCTCTGCTCTGCTCCTCCTGTACGCACTATAGTGCCAGGATGCTGAGGAGGTGGGCAAAGCTGGCTTTGGGTCTCAGCCCTGCACTGAGAGGCCGAGCTAGCAGTCAATTAGGCAGCTGGGTGGATTCCAACAATATAATCAGGATCCTTCCAAAGCTTGGAGAAGCTCCGTGAATTCAGCCAAAAGGAGGTCTGGTGTATGGCCAGTTTTATTGTACAACAACCTACCATTCAAATCTTATATACTGTAAATTCAGCTCTCAATGTCAGATAAAGATAATATTAGTTTGGTACACCTAGAGTTTTAGCAATGGCAAATGATCCTAAGTGGAATTGTATAACAAAATGTTAGGGGCAATACAGCTATTGCAGAATGAGAGGTTTTTATGTACCTTAAATGAAAGTTCATCATCATTCTCCCCACAGAAGTCATAAAGTGCCCGAGCCTTGCCAAGTTTCCCTCCCTGAGTTTGCCGTGCTGTTGGTCCTGCAAAACACAAAAACATTACGTGTCAACTCAATGAGCAATAATTTCCTATGTGACAGACAACAGCATTTACTGAAAACCAATCTATGTAAAATATAAGAGACAGCGATAGAAGAGTAGTTGTTTTTCCAGCCAGTTACTAGCGATACAGTAAAAGGGATCGAGGTGGATGTAGAGCTGTCTGATAACTTCTATGGTACTGCGAAAGTGCTGTCCTTCCATCCCCCACTGCTCCCAGGCTGTCCTGTTCCTCCGGGTTAACCCAAGATCATATTAGATGATGTGAGGACAGAGAGCAAAAGCAGAGAGTGGGACATTCATTCCCCAGGTAAAATACATGTAAACCCTCACAAACCAAACCATTCAGTTATAAAAAGGGGAAAATAGTATTTATAATACACCTATCTATACACAAATGTTTTGCCTTTCATTTCTATTTTTAAGGGATCACATATCCTCCGCTCTTAGCTGCATAAGGAGTTTAGAGAGCTGGGGAAGGAGAAACAGCAGAAAAATGGTCTTCCCACTAAATGGCTGTGTGGAGAAAGGGGGGTGGTGTGTCAGCAAACGTCTGATCATTAGAGGAGAACACACAGAGTTCCCTTTTTCATAGAAGTACATGGCACAGCAGGCACATATCGGGAATATGAAATTATGGGTTTACATATTTTTTAGTACTTTAGTACATTAATACTAGCAGGAAAGAAAAGCTTTAATAAAAACACTATTTTATGCTTTAGTTAAACTTCAATGAGGTGTCTCATTTTCATCATTTGATGGGCATTTCAATCTCAAATCCCTACCTGAGCAGATCTGTACAAACGCAGCTGGCAGAATTCCTTCTCTGCCATTCAGTCTTCCTTTGTACCACTCCAGGTCTAGCCGATCTATAATCAGGATCTTGTCTCCTTTCTTAAAGGGTAGGTCGTCTTCTGCCTCCCCAGAAAAATCATACAGTGCCTCACCCCAATCACCTATTTGCTGAAACAAAACACGCAGGGAAACAGATTAATACAAACAGAAAAGATTCCTCTTTTTGTTGTGAGTTAAGAAAAAACTAAAAAAACAACAAAAAAAACAAAAACACACAACTATAAGAAAATGCCTACAATAAACAGATCTGTAACAATATATGAGTTGATGAGGAAGGTACCGTGTTGTGTAACAATTTATATGATAAAAGATGGAGTACTTAGATTGCATGTAACAACTCAGATCCCATTGTGTGTGTGCATGTGTGTGTGGGTGTGGTGGGGGTGGTCTTCTTTGCTAGTACATGGGTTAATCACCATCATTTGCCTAGTTGATGGCAGTCTCATGCATATGTTACTATTTCAAATGTATACAGCTATAAAACACAAAATCACCTTTCTTTATTATTTTTCTATATCTGGTCAGGTATAGCTTGAATTTATTTATATGCATAAGTGGGGGGTCCACTTAAAAACTAAAAAAGGATTTGTCATAGGGGTTTCTTCTGATCAGCCAGTACCCTTGTCATGCTGCATTAGTCACTTTCTAAAGACTTCCATGCAAAGTACACTGCAGTTAAGCAAATAGAGACTGGTTCAGGACCCAGCCCTAGTCTGTTAATGGCCATTAAAGAAACAACAGAGCATTGATAAGATCATTCCTCAGCTTTTCTCTTCCAAAGTAGCAATCCTCTGATTAGCTCACACTGCTGACCTGTGCCAGTTTGAGGGCTGCTGTGTAGAGGGTTCGAAATTAAAGTTGAGCTTCAGGTCATTATGCTAGTTTTACATAAAAAATATATTGAAATAATTTATCTGCATACATAACTAAGTCATTTTTCCCTATATTTACCAGGATTATAGCTTTAAAGTGACAATATACTTATTCTTCAAAACTAACCTAGCACATATAATGGTCATGTAATCTATGTTTTATGAAATTGTTTTGTACTGTGTTTATCTTTTAATGCCCTCTGAGCTCCTGAACCACTCTTGTTCCCCTTCACTTCCATTTGTTGGAATGAGCCATGCATGTTAGTTGAGTAAAATATACGGCTACATTCCTACATACAGAACTAATGTAGCCACCCTCTAAGGCTAAGTTCACACTAGCTTTGTTAGCAGACCTTAGACAGGCATTTGGGAAGCATTTTTAACACTCAAACGCCTATGAAAATTCTATACATGGCAGTACACAGTGCTGTTCACACTGAAGCGTTAGTGTCGTGGCGTGGCAAAATTGATGCCTCATGTCCAGTCAGGAGGAGTTGAAGCCTCCCATTCAAGTCTATGGTGACGCTCCTCAAACGCCTGGCAGTTGTTTGCAAGGCGGTTTCGGAGCATTAATACCATTAAACTTCATTATAGGCATTTGTGGGTGTAGTTTTAACACTTGGAAAACACTGATCAAACACCTCAAAAACACGCATAGGGCATTTGGGGAGCATTTGAGGGGCTTTAAAAACGCTTCCAAAATGCCTGTCTAAAGACTGCTATAGGGGCGTTTGGCAAGAGTTAGAAATTAATCAAGTGTGAACGACACCTAACAAAAAGTTCAATAGAATTTTTTTTAACCGAAGTTTAGTGTCACTTTAAGAATACTATGACTGGATTTTTATGGCAACTCAAAACAGCAAGTACATTAAGAAATTTTAAATGCTTATTTTTTTTTTTTATGTGAGACTTTCTAAAAAGGTTTTATGATTATCTCCATGTTTGCAAATGTAGCCATGCAAAGGTTTATAGTTTAACCACTTGAGTTACCAGCCTGTATTACCTCTTCACTACCAAACCATATCTCAGTTTTCAGTGCTGTGACAGTTTGTTTGGTCATACAGCACTGTACTCAAATGAATTGTATATTATATTTTCAGATAGACAAAGCTCTGTTATAGTGGTAATTAACTACTTGCTGCCCGCCCACATCATTCAGATCAGCTGTGCTTCACAGTAGCCAATCACAAATCACTAGTAATCACAGCTCTTATGAATGTAGCCCATTCATGACAATTCAAAATATTGCTGTTACAGTGACCATCATTGTAACTGCAATCACAGTGTAAAAAAAAAAAAAACCAAACAAACAAAAAGACAAAACCCTTATTCCCCCCCCCCCCCCCCCCAAGTAGTATGGTTACTACGGTGACACTGAACTACTGTGATGAAAGTAAGTAAAAAAAAAAAAAAAAAAATAGTAAAAAAAAGGAAACAAGTTTAAAAAATGTTTTTTAATAAAAAAAAAGTCATTACATTTTTTTAAACATCCCTGATCCCACCACACCAGTCATACCAAAAAATAGTGGCAAAAAATTACAACATCAAAAAAATTCACCATGCCTCTTACTCTCCTTCCTTCGTTGTGAGAGGAAGGGGCAGAATCTCAGATGTAACCACTTCAGTATTTAGATTTGTGACTGCTGTACTGGTCATCACAGCAATCACAAAGTACAAAGCTGCGGGGATGAGCTCTGTACACCATGTCTGTGATCCAAGCTGTCCTATGATAACACAGGTAATAGCCATTCATGGGTACACTGGCCAGCTGAGGGTTATTTTCTAAATGCCATTTATAAACATCAATGCGGTAATACACATCTACCACTCCACAGCTCTTAAAGTGGTTATAAAGGCTAGTTTTTTCTTAAAATAATAAACATATTAGAATTACCTCCTCTTCTGAGGTTCCCCACCAGTGCTCTCCGGTCCTCCTCTTCTGCGAATGGCCCAAAAGCAAGCTGGCTGCTATGGGGGCACTCATTTGGGTACGCTCCTAAGACAGGCTGTGTGTGTTCATAGACACACACAGTGTGGCTTGGCTCTGCCCAAATGTTCCCTCCTCACAGCCTTGACAGATTGACAGCAGCAGGAGCCAATGGCTCAAGCTGCTGTCTATGTGTCCTGTGTGAACAGGGAGAAAGAAGAAAACTACTGCAGACAGGCACAGTTCTGGATTGAGAAAGGACTCATGTAAGTATATTTGGTGGTTGTGGGGTAATGCATACAATTACTGGGACAATTTTTATCTTGATTTACCTTGCAAGGAATAGATTAAGGTGAAAAAAAAATGTCTTTACTTTATAACCACTGTAAGCATACAGTGGTTGTAGAGTGAAGTTATGGTAACATACAGCATTTAACTTAACATAACCATGTACAACCCGGAATTTCATTGCATGACCATTTGGGTCTGTATTCTCTGATAATGCCACAATAAGACCTATCTTGGCTAACAGTCCACGTTTTGCAGGGAACACATAAACCACATACCTGTGATGATAATCCAGGCAATTTATTCTTATGTGAATCCCGAACATCTAAAAGGAACAAATGGTAAAAAAGCAATCTATATCAAACAATCACTGATGTAAAACAAAAGCTACAAATAGGAGGTCATATGGCATATAATAAAATAGAGGGATGGATTCCATGGAAACCAAATCAGCAATCATCCTTCACTAAAACTGATGAATGGTGACATCTGGCTGCTCTGTGTTGCTAAATTTGGATCATTAGTATTGCTTTCTCATTGCCTTATTACATTAGGAGGGTAATAAAGGTGTGGAAAAGTCATGCAAACATTCTTACGCCAAAGAGTCACAGCAAGCCATATATTTCTGGTCAAAAATAACCATGTACAATACAGTACATAATTACCTGATGTTTTGGATGGCAAGTCTTCTAGAATTTCAACAAAATTGATTGGAAAGATCCCTGTGTGTACTCCTAGCTCCCCTTTAGCCCATTCATCATTAATGTATTCTTTCAGGACAATTGTATCGCCTTCACTGAAGCTCAGTTCATCTTTCTGATCACCTATGAATTCAAATCGTGCCACACACCGTGGGCCCCTGGAAGAACCAATCACACACTAGTGATGAGAAGTCATTTCTTTCTGGGTCAAGTGACAACACATTTTGTTAGAATAATTTATTGGCTCCTGGTTAGTTTACAAAATAGATAACGGCAAAAAATAGATTGTGTACTTACTTTATGAAAGATGCTGATGAGTATCTTTTGGGATTTAACTTTTCTGGAACATCAATCTTGGGAATAAGATGGAGAGACAGTATGTATGTCAATGTTACTTTCTGTACATTGCAGCCAGCAGAGGGCAATGCATTACATAAAAACACTGGATGAAAAAAACTACAATCAGCTAGAATTCTTAGTGCCACTTATTTTACACTTCTTCATCAGGTCATTAGGACTAAATACCTGTACTTTTATTACATGACAAAAACATTTTATGTTTACAGTACATAAGGTTTTTGCCAGATGTCTTTACTTAATAATATCATGATTGCACTGTAGAGTAATAAACTTCAGTACTGGGATGATTGGACTCCATCTGGAAAAAAGCACTACTGGGAATTTCTGCTGAAATTCTAGTTATCTGGAAGTCTTGCTGACCCCTTAGCTTCAATACTTTCTAAATCATTATTCTTGGAAAAGTATGCAGATCAGGCAATGACTTCACTTGTTGCAGTTAATTTGGATGCAGAGACACGCTGGATGCCTTTGCTGTCATTTTGGTATAGCTGGGCATCACATGCGTCCCTGTACCTTTAAGAAGGAATGGGCTCCTCCAGGTACACCTGCCCTTAACCTATCTATTGATACATGTGCTCCTACTATGGAGGCTTTGAAATTTTAGTAGGTCCACAGTATAGAGGAGACCCTTGACATGGGACTGTGGCTTACGCATGTATTTGCAAATGTGTGCAAACAAAACCCTCTGTTTTTAACGCGAACTGTTAGACAGGGCCAAATTGGTTGTTTCGCACACTTGCAAGTGTTGCTGGGAAACCCTTTTGTTTACGATGTGCGTTGCCCTTCCATGTGCACCTTACTGCTAAGACTGGTTATAGGTTGGGACGGTTGCCATTTTTTGTGTCATTCTGCAAGTCTCTCATAACTGGTCTTCCTGTAATTTTCTTGTATTCTCACCAATATGGCCAATTCTCTGATCAAAACCACGGCGCAGAGCAGGCAAGTAAGACATTTTTTTTTAATTACCTTTAGTATCTTTTTAAGGAACCAATAATATAGCAACTAAGAAGAAACAAAGCAAAGAAGAGACGAGAGCAGGATAGGTTGGGAGGTAGCAGTAGGGGAAAGCACCCTGAAGTACCATGGCATCCTGCTTGAGAAATGCTGTCAGATCCGACCATGCTAATGCTTCACACAACTGTCATTCAGCACAGCAGAAACTCGGTCAGGACAATGCAGTGAAGGGCAGTAGAAAGGGGAGGTGGCTCCCTGAGTCCTAAGCTCAGTCCTAAGTGGGATAGCAGAAGGGGTACATGCTCCATACATCCTATAACTAAGTGCCTTGAGTTCCAACTCGTCTCCAATTCAAAGCCTCACCCAGCAGCTAGCCATATTTCCCTTGCAGTTCACTAGCCTGACAACACTCGCTACTCACTTGGCCAGCACCATGCACAGCCTTGTAGATTGTAATGGAAGAAGGCACTCCCCTGAGGCTCTGGTGAAAGGAAAGCAGGGACAAGAGGGGGCAGAAGGGAGGGTGGGTTACAAAGGTGTGCCAACAGGGAGTGTGTGGGGTGTGGAGGTGAGCAGAGTGGGGGGTTTGGGGTGTGGAGTTAAGCAGTGTTGTAATGAGTTGTGGTGTAGAGGTGAGCAGAAGGGTTTGGGGTGCAAAGATTAGCAGGGGGATTGGGGTCCAAAAGTGAGCAGAGTGGGATTGGGGTACAGAAGTTAGCAGAGAGGGGAACATGTGGTGTGATTTTGCAGCCTATTCATTTGAATGGGCTGAAATCGCACTGGAATGCAGAAACAAATAGTTGGTTTATATTTTTGTGTGCAGAGAATGTGTATGTAATGAGAGAGTTTCAGAAAGGAGGATAGAGAGGAAATGGGGGCGCAGGATGACCTTGTCCCAGCCTTTTTGTGTGTGTGTGTGTGCGCATGCGTGTATGTATGCCTTTTTTTGGGGTGCGTTCATAAAAGCAGCAAGGACTGCTGCTCCTCTGAAGGGCGATCCATGCTCAACTCACTTTTCAGAGGCATTTTACAGGGAGTGAAGAGGCAATATGTTGCCTATTCATCCCGTTTTAACCCCCTAAATGCAGCATCACAACCATGGGCAATGCATGCAGTTGCAGGACAGTTGCAGCACAGCCCCATTCACTTGGGGGTATACTTCCAGCCAAAGTCAAAGCCTGGCTGTTGTCACTGCAGCTAAAGGGGAGCAGTTAGGAGTGGTAAAAACACAGCTCAAATATGTGATTTTATCATCCCCCAACCTCAGATGGGAATGAGCCCTTAATTCACATCTATGCTGCTGGCTGTAGGGCAAGCCTTTCTTTTCAATGGGCTTCCCTACCTGCAGAAACACAGGGAAGGAAGTCCTTGACCTTTTATTTATTTATTTTTATAAATAATATTATATTATTTTATTATTTTTTTAAATCACGCTGCACTGAAAAAAAACTGTTTGCCAGTGTGTGGGGGTACCAGGTAAGAATGAATGACATCATGTGTGTCTGCTAAAAAAAAAAAAAAAAATCTGTGTGTCGGGAACATGCGCAGATTTTGCAGGCATTCCCTGACACACAATAACGTGAACCAAGATTTAAACTGGAGTGCCTTGAGACTGAAAATACTTTTCAAGGGTGCCCTGACTGGAAAAAGATTGAGAAACACTGATCCATGAGTCTCATGTTTTCTTAAATGTAGTCATCGTGTCTGTGAAAAGACACACGATATTAGGAAGTGGTCAGAAGCAGGTTTAATTCACTTGAGAGCAGCCAAGCAAGGAATCAATGAATGATATAAGAAATCTGTCTCATGTTTTCTCAAATTTTCTCACTGCTCCTGATTAGCATTGTCTGGTTATGAGAGAGATATGACAATTGTTCCACAATGTGGACAAAATCCTAGCTACTACTGTACATCTCTATTATGGTGTTCCATAACAACACATGTATTCACTTACCACAACTCTGACGTGATTGGAAGGAAATATACCAGTGTTTCCTTTACACTTTCCTCTGTACCACTCCTTGTCTACCTTCTCCAGCAGGTATACAATCTCCCCTGAGCTCAGGCTTAGGTCATCTTCATGTTCTAAACATGTACGAAAAAAATGTGTTAGCCCAAGACATCTCACACAATGAAAAAACATATATGCTGCAAAGCATGCATAGTTGTAGAACTGGTTTAGGGACAAATTTGAGAGGCTTTGTCAGGCTTTTACCATGTGTTTGTCTTAAATTTAATATGCATTTACACTAACTTGTATGGAAGAATAAAAACAAAGTCCAAACTGACCTTAACTGATCTCAAAAGCACAAGTTGCCTTTAAGTGGAACTTTACACCCTCCCCCACCCAAAAAAAAAATTGCAAACAGCAGAGTTTTTAAGACAGAACAGATATGCTACATCTCTTGCATTAAAACGACTTACCTGCCTGTCTGCAATGTACACTGTGTTTTTACAGTGTAAAATTTTGGCAAAGTCCAGATGATTGAACTGCCACACATGCAAGGGAGTTACGTCATCCTGGCCTGGCCAAACAGATACTCGAAAGTCGCCAGGCTGAAGATTCAGCAGCCAACAGGGAATGCAATATTGGAGAACAGGCGAGTGTAGTTCAGCTTTACGGTACGCATACAGTATATAGCCAATTGTAATAACCCCTACATCGACTGATGCTCTTCTGGTGGAAAATAGCTAAGAATATCGACCACAAACTGGCCGAACACAAAGTGGGACAATAACAGAACATGACTGAATCCATCATTTTACATCTGGAGTTGCTATTGTATTAAGACATTTAATGTGCAGTACTATTGACTAATTTTTTCATCTGCAGATCCCATTAATAAATTGGAAAATTCTCCTATATATTAAACTGCCATAGGTGCTTGTTAGAAATAGCCTGATTATTGTAATGTTCAAACTATGAACAGCTCGTCATTTTCTTGTGGTCTACGGTTTTTGCCCCGACCCTCTTCTTCTGGGGTTCCCCACTGACACTCTTGGCTCCTCCTCTTCTGTGTCTGCCCCCATTAGAAAGATTTTTTTCTCTAAAATGTGTATGACTGAACGCCATGTTTATGTCACAAAGTACTTTACTTACCTCCTGCATAGTCATGTAGCACTTGTGCATGAGGAGTATGGCTGTCTTCCATTCTAGGCAGCACATCCTTTAAACAAGGAGAGAACCATAAAGCAAACTTTGTTATTAAAGCTATTATAACTGTAAAATACTAGTATAATGCTAATTGCCTGGCATTCCCAAAGCCTAGGGCTTTCTGAAAAAGGAATCTTCCAGAAACTTGTTCTGTGTTCCCAGTTCTATTCCAAAAAGTATGTTATAATTATATTTAAAAGATAACAACTAGCGTTCATTGTGAAGCTCCCAGCAATCTTATCCTTGTTATAGCTGAAGTTTAATATTTTTTGGGGGATGCATTGGTGCTTACCTGTGACCCTCTAGCTGTTGCAGAACAAGTCCCATCATGCCTCTGCCTTTGGGAGTCATGCTTATAACCTTGTCAGTCTTGCAATGCCTCATGGGACTTTTCGTTCTGCAACAGCTGGAGGGCCACAGGTTGAGCAGCCATAGAGCATTATACACAATAGTTGAGTGTATCCCATTACCTGAGGGTGGCAGCTTCTGCTATAAAATTTCCATGCAGTGCCTTCTTCATAGTTCCCAGTTACTGTCCTGAGCGGATGTCTTCCAGCGCTGTGAGAGTTACCAGCAGATGCTGCTAAAGAGTAAAATAGTTGTGGGGCTCACCGACCCCCTTCTACCTCCTCCGACATTCACAGAACTCCTACTATTACTGGCCCAAAATGCATCACGTTCTGTGAATGAAGGAGAAGTAGTTGAATGACAGGATCCCCCCTGCTCAGTCATAGAACACAGTGCAATGTGGGACTTTCTATATATATCTATATAAACCATCTCTTTTATTAATTGTGGAACAATATTAGTAGGAGTTCTGTGAATGGCGGAGAGAGCAGATAAGGGCTTGCAAGAGGCGCAATTTTGCTCTATGGCAGTGCCAGCTCTAAAGGAGGCACAGGGAAGATTTTTAGCAGAAGCAGCCACCTGCAGGTAAGGGGATACAAACCATAACAAATGTGTATGATGCTGCATCCACCTTTAGCTTTAAGCTGTATAGCAATGTTTCACACAATATGTGCAGGAGAAAATGCTAGACCAGAATATCTGTATGTACAGTCTTTACTCTTATGTCAAAATCAGCTGTAGCCATTCAAAAAAAAAAAAAAAAAAACAATTATAGACAATAGTGAATCAGAATAGTATCATCAAGAATACCCACTCCAAAACCCAGCAGGTCCCACCTTGATCTTCTTTGCTGCTCACCTGGCAGGTAAAAGAGGTGTATTCTCCTAGATTGTAAGCTCCAAGGAGCAGGGCCCTCGAACCCCTCGTGTATTAAATTGTATTGTTACTGTACTGTCTTGTATACTGTCTCCCATTGTAATGTACAGCGCTGAGCAAACTGTTGGCGCTATATAAATACTGTATAATAATAATAATGTGTGTGTGATGAGCACCTCCCTTTTACTCCACTAGAAATAGATCAATTGCTGTCACACAGATTTTTTTTGCAAGATCCCTTTATAGTCTGATCCGTGCCCAAAAGCCACAGGTGAAGCCCAGATTAAGACCTGATCATTCCCATATATATCCATCTTAACTATTCCCTCCTTACCCATTTATTTATCTATCATCAATTAGCTGAGATACAGTATATACACTGTAGTAAGATTGATAATTAACCTTCAAAGTACTGTATTAGGGTGGAGCTTACTTTCTGTCTGTTTTCCACACTGTCATCTAGTGGAGTAATGATCTTCATGTTGTTCGCTTTAACATCCCCTGTTATACCACCTTTCTGGCAATGGATGTAACTGTTATCTGTTTGTTCCAGCAACACCAACACCTCTCCTCGCTGTAGATATAGAGACATAACAAGATTTGTGTTTCATAGAACACAAACATACTGCTAAATATTAACATTACAGTCTTTTTTCCTCAAATGTATACACAGCATAACTAATGTCAAACAAGGTAGCCCTTTATAATTCCCATCACCCTCCTGATTACAGTTATTTATGGAGGGGAGGAATACACTGCATAGATTTCTTTATGTTTGTTGAGCATGCTAGTCAAACAAAGATGTCATTATCAGACTAATGCTGAAGTGAAGTTAGAGAATGATAACCAACTGCTTAGAAGTACAATCCTTTAGGTATCAAACCATTAAGAATTTAAAAAAATAACATGAACAGGATTTGACACATCTACAGGGTGGGAAGGTTAGAGTACTTATGCTAAACATCTGGGAAATGCATGCACAACAATGTGATTTTCAGGTATTTGTTATGTTAAATGTGTGTTGAGGATCCATTCAAACCTGGGCTGGGCTGCATAGCACAAGGCAGGCACAATGCAATGACAAGCTGTAATCCATTGTTTCCAAAAGGCTCAGTTCACCTTGATGTGCACTGAGTGAAAATGGAACATGCTGCACTGAAACGCAGTGCAATGCTGTGGAAAAACACGTTGAATACTTGGCTGCTGCTGTGGTAAAAATGCACATCTATGCAATGCATTAAAAAATGTATGTCATTGCACACAAAAATACATAAAATGGGGAAGGGCTAGAACAAATTTAACTGCTGTCTGTATTCCCACTGGGAAGATTTCCCCCTCTTCCTTTCTGAATAACTGCTGTCAGTAATTCTCCTAAGCTGGACACAGAGCATTTAAGACCTGGCAGGGGTTCTATCTAACTCACTCAGTCCAAAACAAATCTTCACACTAAAGCCTTATTCACATGAGGCACACATCCTGCATGTATTCGGGGCAATGCACCCACACCAATGTCACATTTGGAGAAGTGTCTGTGCAGCTGCTGCGTTCCAACTGACAACCATGGGACTGCCTGCACAAGGATGCATGGGATACCTGTGCATCCCTATCTTGGTAAATACAGCCCTCCATGGGCATAAGGTTATGTACGCCCCATGTGAATAAGGTCCAAAAAGTACATTTCCTCCTTTTGAACCAACCTCCACTTTCCCTCTCCAAAATACCTTTTTTTTCTTTTCCAGCCAGCCCATATCTTCCATTCTCTTCCCTAACATGCTCTGCTCCTTGTGCCTCCTTGGCTATGCACGTCACATACCCCAGGAGGCACTGGCTTTCAGTCAGCAGACAGTGGAATAGGGCAGCCTGAACCTGGAAGAGACAGCTGCCTCCCGATGGCATCACAGAAGAGGATGGTAGTGGTGGACCCAGGCCACATATTCACATATTAGTCACATATTTATATCATTATATCTTGCCACCATGCTTTACACATTAAAAGCAGTAATGGTAGATTTACCTTGCATGGCAGCTCTCGTGGGTTACTTGTTACAATATCTTTCTCAGCAATTCCATGAGGAAGAGGCAGCTAAATCAGAAAACAGTCACCCATGAGTACACAATACACTGTAATATCACTGCTGCAACAAGATAATAATTGACACTGAAAACAAGCAAGATTCTTTTTTTAATCTTTAGTCGACCATCTTTTTCATTTTTATATTTCTGTTTTTTGTGTAATGACATTTATCATCATAAATTAATTTACAGCACAGCGTCCCTAAGCACACTCATTTTTAGTTACTACTGTACACATTTCATTTCTCATACTGTACATGACCATAACAAGCTGCTATACATCCAAGGCTATATTTAGACATCATGCTGCTCTAGGCATACCTGAATGGTGACACACCTTTATACAAAACCTGCCTATTGTGTCATGTGATTATTCTAGCGAAAACTGCCAGAATATGGTATTGGAGACAGAATGCTGTCTGCTTTATATCCAGAACTATTTTTAACTGTAGAGACTGTTTCATGTGTCCTGAACTATAAAAAGCCCTCTGTCTTTTTTCAACAACCCCTGCACCCTTCTGTTCTGGATAGAGCCAGAGGCGTCCAGAAAGGGAAATGTAAAAAAAAAATGATCACAATATGTAAATTCTGGCATTTGTGTCGCTCCCTCTATCTTTGTTACCCTAGGCCTAGACACTGACCCACAAGTGCTATTGTAGTAAATACAGTAGTGGAAAGAGGCCTGTACTTACGTCAATAGAAGAGAAATCTATAAAACTCACCGTGTATTTATTGTACAGAGGATGCCCAGGTTTAGGTCGAGGAGGTAGATCTGGTTGCTGTCTTTTTAATACTTGACTCTTTGATCTGTTGATACCAGATGTGTTCTGTTTTACACCAAGGACTGCATCAGAGGATGAGCGAGGAAAGGCATCTCGAGTTGAGGCATTTCTGGAAAGTTTGGGAGGTGGTGGTCGACCTGGGGGACCTTTCAGCGGAGGCTGCTGTGCAGTTTCCATTACTTTAACACCAGCTGGCCTAGACAGGAATGCGAGGTAAAATTATACCATCAAAAGAAGACTGTTTCCTGACGGAGTACAGGATCAGCCAACAACAATGTCTATACTAGAAGCAAGGCTCTTAGATCTGCAGATGTTTATAAAACCTTACTGCTTAACCATGTACAGAGAGTTCTTGATATTTTGGGAGATACAAAACACAGAGAAACCAATTTATAAATGTGTTTAATATGATTTAATGACAGTGTGATATTTACAACATATATACTGTGCATACCTAGTAGGCAGCACTGGCTTTGTCCAAGGCTCTTCTATACTATCAAATGTTTCCCATTCCTGCAACAGAAAAACAATTTAAGTTCAAGTCAGTATATACAGTGTCCAATGAGCCGAAGATTTGTATACTCTATATAACTATTTTACAATTAAAATAAAGCTAAAAAGAAAATGGGGTGCAGGCAGTACTGTTTTACACGCCCATGATATTTTAATTATATGTTTTCAGTGACAACCTCAATTACATTCAAAGTATATGTAAACTTAATTACTGAAATGTATTAAATTTATTTCAGGTACTTATATAGCGTTGTCAATTTACGCAGCGCTTTACATATACAGTGGGGCAAAAAAGTATTTAGTCAGCCACCAATTGTGCACGTTCTCCCACTTAAAAAGATGAGAGAGGCCTGTAATTGGCATCATAGGTAGACCTCAACTATGAGAGACAAAATGAGGAAAAAAAATCCAGATAATCACATTGGCTGATTTGGAAAGAATTTATTTGCAAATTATGGTGGAAAATAAGTATTTGGTCACCTACAAACAAGCAAGATTTCTGGCTCTCACACACCTGTACCTTCTTCTTTAAGAGGCTCCTCTGTCCTGCACTCATTACCTGTATCAATGGCACCTGTTTGAACTTGTTATCAGTATAAAAGACACCTGTCCACAACCTCAAACAGTCACACTCCAAACTCCACTATGGTGAAGACCAAAGAGCTGTCGAAGGACACCAGAAACAAAATTGTAGACCTGCACCAGGCTGGGAAGACTGAATCTGCAATAGGCAAGCTACTTGGTGTGAACAAATCAACTGTGGGAGCAATAATTAGAAAATGGAAGACATACAAGACCACTGATAATCTCCCTCGATCTGGGGCTCCACGCAAGATCTCACCCCGTGGGGTCAAAATGATCACAAGAACGGTGAGCAAAAATCCCAGGAACACACGGGGGGACCTAGTGAATGACCTGCAGAGAGCTAGGACCAACGTAACAAAGGCTACCATCAGTAACACACTACGCCGCCAGGGTCTCAGATCCTGCAGTGCCAGATGTGTCCCCCTGCTTAAGCCAGTACATGTCCGGGCCCGTCTGAAGTTTGCTAGAGAGCATTTGGATGATCCAGAAGAGGATTGGGAGAATGTCATATGGTCAGATGAAACCAAAATAGAACTATTTGGTAGAAACACAACTCATCGTGTTTGGAGGAGAGAGAATGCCGAGTTGCATCCAAAGAACACCATACCTACTGTAAAGCATGGGGGTGGCAACATCATGCTTTGGGGCTGTTTCTCCACAAAGGGACCAGGATGACTGATCCATGTACAGGACAGAATGAATGGGGCCATGTATCGTGAGATTTTGAGTGCAAACCTCCTTCCATCAGCAAGGGCATTGAAGATGAAACGTGGCTGGGTCTTCCAACATTACAATTATCCCAAACATACCGCCCGGGCAATGAAGGAGTGACTTCGTAAGAAGCATTTCAAGGTCCTGGAGTGGCCTAGCCAGTCTCCAGATCTCATCCCCATAGAAAACCTTTGGAGGGAGTTGAAAGTCCGTGTTGCTCAGCGACAGCCCCAAAACATCACTGCTCTAGAGGAGATCTGCATGGAGGAATGGGCCAACATACCAGCAACAGCGTGTGCCAACCTTGTGAAGACTTACAGGAAACGTTTGACCTCTGTCATTGCCAACAAAGGATATATAACAAAGTATTGAGATGAACTTTTGATATTGACCAAATACTTATTTTCCACCATAATTTGCAAATAAATTCTTTCCAAATCAGCCAATGCGATTGTCTGGATTTTTTTTTCTCATTTTGTCTCTCATAGTTGAGGTCTACCTATGATACCAATTACAGGCCTCTCTCATCTTTTTAAGTGGGAGAACTTGCACAATTGGTGGCTGACTAAATACTTTTTTGCCCCACTGTATATATTATACATTCACATCAGTCCCTAACCCTCAAGGGGTGTACAATCTAAGGCCCCTAACTTACATTCATACATACACATACTAGGGTCAATTTAGACAGGAGCCAATTAACTTACCAGCATGTCTTTGGAGTGCGGGAGGAAACCGGAGTACACGGAGGAAACCCACACAGGCACAGGGAGAACATGCAAACTCCAGGCAGGTGGTGCCGTGGCTGGGATTCGAACCAACGACCCTAGTGCTGCCAGGCGGAAGTGCTAACCATTTAGCCACTGTGCTGCCCCTCTCATGTACTGGAACATGTTAGGTCATTTTCAACATTTGTAAATCTGTAGCTTACCATTAAGATAGTACCTGGAGAGCCTGCCATGAAAATCCTTGCCCAGGCTCTTCCTGTTAAAGGGTAACAATGCTCCCCAACTGTGCTCCTATATTGTCTCCCTGTCCTATAGGCTTCTGATGGACTACAAGTGGAAGTTTTAACATACATTACGGAGGGAATTGTCCACTGTTGTCACAATCAGGATCACCCTGAAAAATGGTGTGCGGCCTTCCCTGGAGGGCATACATTAAGAGGCTGCAGGAGATTAGCAGCACTGAGATGCAACAAAGAATAAAAAAGGTGAAAAAAAAGTATTTTATGTCATTCAGTTGGGAATTACATTTTCTTTTTGTCACACTAGGCTATAAGGGTTCATGTCTATGTACATCAGTTACATCCTGTGCGTAATTCTGACACAAATTGAAAGAATCGCCATATAAAGACTGGATGAGGAGGGGAACCATCACCAGATATCCATTCACAGTCTGAGCTTCATCATGCACATAGTACTTACTTTTCTAACTGTAGGGCGTGCTCTTGCAGCAGATTTATTGTAAAGACCAACTGGTTTTTCTGTAGGAAGTGGTGGGGGAACCTGAAGTTCTTCACATGCTGTGAACACAGGATAACACTGTGATCTTTCATGAAGACTAGTCAACAAATTAAACTAGGAATAAATGATAACTATAGGATACAACAAGAGCCTACAGTTGTGCTCAAAGGTTTGCACACCATGGCAGAAATCATAAAATGTTGGTATTGATAGGGATATGGATCTCTTGATACCAAGCCAAGGTCAGGTAGACCATGAAAGATTGGGATACAGAGAAAAACCCACAGGCAACCATAGGAGAAGTACAGGCTGCTCTGGAAAAAAAAAAAAAAAAAAAAAAAAAAAAAAAAAAAAAAAAAGACAGTGCGGTTGTCTTAAGGAACACAATACAATGTTTGAATAAAAATTAACTGCATGGTTGAGTTGCAAGAAAAAAAGCCTTTACTGTGCCAATGCCACAAAAAATTCCAGTTACAATGCCCAACACCTTGACACGCCGCACAGCTTCTTGCACACTGTAATCTGGTGTGACAAGACCAAAATAGAGGTTTATGGTCACAGCCATAGGCGCTGTGAGGGGTCAACAAGGATTAGAGACAAGAATACCATCCCCACTGTGAAGCATGAGGATGTGAGCTTGAAAATGAAAACAGCATGTTTTTAGAAAATGTGCCAAGGGAAGGTGCAGCACATAAGTCAATCAATGCATTAAAACCTCATAGTCTTTAAACTAATTAAAATCATAAAAGACAATCAAAACAATGATCTATAAATAGATATATGAGTCCCAATAGGCAAAATCTGTAACATGAAGGTGCTATTCCAACAGGTTGTGCACATATATACTGGAATCAACCAAAAAGTGGGAAGTGCTTATCCTCCGGTGTTGAAGTCGGTGCGGAGGGAGCATATAAACCCTCAGGACCTAGGTCCCATCCGTTTGGAGGATGGATTAACTCCCCTAAGACCAGACCACCCACGAGAGGAACCTCTGAGTGACCTCACCTTAAACACCCACACCATCAGAGGGAAAGATTTCTAGACCAGGTTCCACTGAAGGGAGATCTCCAGGCCGGCAATTATTGGCTAAATGCGCATTAAGATTGCGCTTCTGGTGAGTTTGCAATCCCACTAATCTATCACACACCACCGGATGATAAGCACTTCCCACTTTTTGGTTGATTCCAGTATATATGTGCACAACCTGTTGGAATAGCACCTTCACGTTACAGATTTTGCCTATTGGGACGCATATATCTATTTATAGATCATTGTTTTGATTGTCTTTTATGATTTTAATTAGTTTAAAGACTATGAGGTTTTAATGCATTGATTGACTTATGTGCTGCACCTTCCTTGGCACATTTGATCTTATTGAGAGGACTTGTAGTTCCTTTTTTGGTGCATTCAGCTGCTATTTTTGGAAGTGCTCACTGATTTTCTTTGTGTTATGTTTTTACAAAATACCTGCTGACAATCTTAATTCTTCTGCAGGAAAGCTTTGCATGGGACGTTCTTGGTGCAAGACCAAGTTGACCCTCCAGTGGTTACAACAGAAAACGTTGAAGGTTCTGGAGTGGCCATCACAGTCTCCTTACCTTAATCAGTTACCAACCGCCCTACAGCAGAAATACTGCCAAAGGGTGGCACGGGTGCGCAAAATCACTTATACGTGATTTTGCACATCTGGGTAGGGAGCACGCGTAGGCCGTGCGCGCGCCCTACCCACGCAGCCGATTGCGGCACCAGGTGTCAATCACTGGGTCCCACCCGATGCTTACTCACCGGTGCTTGGTGATTGCCGAGGATCACCGACGGGGAGGAAAGCTGCTTTGTTTATCAAACAGTCCTCCTCCCTGTCAGTTTGGGCACACTGCTCTGGATGGCTGAGCACAGCCATCCAGAGCAGTGCGCTTTACAGTAAAGCACCCCCGCCCACCAGTAAAACACTCCCAGCACATAGTTCACCCTTTGATTTTTGAGTTTACCCTCATTGTTAACCCCTTCCTGCCCAGTGCCATTAGTACAGTGTCAGTGTTTTTTTTTTTTTTTTTTTTTTTTTTTTTTTAGCACTGATCCCTGTATTGGTGTCACTGGGGATGTCAGTGACACCAAGTCAGTTTCCCCCAGTGTCAGAATGTCCCGCTATAAATCGCTGATCGCCGCCATTATTAGCAAAAAAAAAAAAAAAAAATCCAGTACCTATATTGCCATTTGTAAACGCTATAACTTTCACATAAATTAATTGATTTACACGTATTGGGATTTTTGTTTTTTAGCAAAGACATGGTCGCAGAATACATTTTTGCCTAAATTTATGATGAAATTCGATTTTACATTTTTTTTCACTGGACATGTTTAACCGCTTCCGCGCCCGCCCTATAGCAGAAACCCCACAGGAACACCACACACAATAACCCGATCTCCGACCTGGTATGAGGGAGCGGGCAACCGTCTACGATCAGCCTGGAGCTTCTGTGCGCTGTGCTGAGTCCTTCAAGGACCTCTGAATCTGCCCCCCATGAGGAGCGCAGAGCAGCCAGGTGGTTATCCACAGCCGGAATGTCCTGTGGAGAGAACAGGGCGCGGAAGTCTATGTCCCCAGGCTACCCTTCAGCCAGGGCCCCTGATGGTGGCCGATGGACTTGACGCAGCCTCAGGCACACGAGTAGAGTAGTCACGCCGGGTCAATACAGCGGGTTGGAACCCATAGTTGGCCATGAAGGGGGACATCCCAGAGGAGGAGTTGACAGCCGAGTTCCTCGCAAACTCTGCCCATGGCAGGAGATCGACCCAGTTGTCCTGATGATCCGATATATAGCAACGAAGGAATTGTTCCAGGGCCTGGTTGGAACACTCCGCGCAGCACTATTGGACTGAGGTGAAGGTAGGCCGAAGAGAAGGAAAGCTCGATACCAACTGGGAGCAGAAGGCGCAAAAAAGGCCAGAAAACCTGGACACAAACTGACGGTAAGGAACCCACGGTCCGAGACAATCACCTTGGGCAACCCGTGCAAGCGAAAGATCTCCTTGGCGAAAACCGTAGCCAGCTCCTGTGCAGTCGGACCAACAAAACGGGGGGGCCAGCTTTTCTTGAACGGAACGCAATGGCACATCTTAGAAAAACGATCGATCACCATAAGAATGACCGTATGACCTTGAGACGCAGGAAGATCCACAATAAAATCCATTCCCAGGTGTGACCAGGGACGCTCCCCATTGGGAATGGGTTGCAGAAGGCCCAATGGAAGGTGCCGAGGAGATTTATTCTGGGCACAGACCGAACAAGCTGCTACAATATACCCGTGAGGCGATGTCAGAACGGAGAGATGGCCACCAGAATAACCGAGAAACGACCCAGGACAATTGGTTCCTATCAGGATGACCGGCAGTCTTGGAATTATGGTAGGTACGTAGCAAGCGGGTACGCAATCCCTCAGGTACAAAACATCTTCCAGCAGGTCTCTCAGGGGGAGCGTTAGTTTGAGCCGCCAAAATCTGCTCCCCAAGGGGAGAAGTCAGGTTGGTACGAATGGCAGCCAGGATCTGGTTTGGAGGAATGACCGAGGTCGGCTCAGTGTCCTCCCTGGACAGCTCAGAGTATTGCCGCGACAAGGCATCAGCCCTGACATTCTTGGAACCAGGCAAGTAAGAGACCACATAGTTAAAACGTGACAAAAAACAGAGCCCACCTGGCCTGACGGGGCGTCAACCTCTTAGCCTCCGAGAGAAATGTGAGGTTCTTGTGGTCAGTGAGAACTAGGACCGGAACCACAGAACCCTCAAAGCAGGTGCCTCCATTCCTTGAGAGCCAGAATAATGGCCAACAACTCCCTGTCTCCAATCTGGTAGTTGCACTCTGCAGAGGAAAGCTTCTTAGAGTAGAACCCACAAGGAAGTAGGGGTCCCTCGGGTGACCGACGCTGGGACAAGAGGGCGCCTACTCCTGTCTCAGATGCATCAACCTCGAGAACAAAAGGCAACCCAGGATTGGGATGAGACAGAATTGGGGCCGAAATGAAGGCGGCTTTCAGAGCCTTGAAAGCTGAGATGGCCTCGGGTGACCACTCGTGAGGGTTACTGCCCTTCTTGGTCAGATCTGAGAGAGGCTTTGCCAATGTGGAAAAGTTCCTGATAAACTTCCGATAATAGTTGGCAAATCCCAAAAAGCGCTGAATGGACCGAATACCACTGGGACGAGGCCACTGCAGAACCGCTGAAACCTTCTCAGGGTCCATAGAAAAACCCATCGGGGAAATGATGTAGCCTAAAAAGGCAACCTGGGACTGGTGAAATTCACACTTCTCGAGCTTACAGAAAAGCTCGTTTTCACGTAACCGTTGCAGCACCCGCTTAACATCCTGGATATGAGTCTCCATAGACGCAGAGTAAACCAGGATGTCGTCCAAGTAAACCACCACGCACTGCTGCAACAAGTCACGTAAGACATCGTTAATAAACTCCTGAAAGACCGCGGGTGCGTTACACAACCCGAAGGGCATAACCAGGTATTCATAGTGGCCGGTTCTGGTGTTGAACGCGGTCTTCCACTCATCGCCCTCCTTGATCCGTACAAGGTTGTAGGCAGCCCTAAGGTCGAGCTTAGTAAAGACCGTTGCTCCCTTGAGGCGGTCAAACAACTCGGTGATCAACGGAATAGGATAAGCATTTTTAATCGTGATCCGATTGAGATCCCTAAAATCAATGCAGGGTCTCAGCTCACCTCCCTTCTTTTTCACAAAAAAAAACCCAGCTCCTGCTGGAGACGTAGACTTGCGAATGTGCCCCCGGGAAAGCGCATCCGCAACGTATTCCTCCATGGCCTGATTCTCTGCCACCGAAAGAGGATACACCCTGCCACGCAGAGGAGTAGCACCAGTTTGTAAGGTTATGGCACAATCGTATGGACGATGAGGAGGCAGAGCACCGGCGCGCACCTTGTCAAACACGTCCAGGTACTCCCCATATTCAGTGGGCAGCACAGAGTCCGAGGAGGTGCACAGCACCTTAACCGGACCACGGATGCAACCAGCCCCACACCGTGGTGACCATGAGAGAA